TTTGTAAATTTATTTTTGTAAATTTTAAAAAGTACATGTACCTTAAGGTCTGTACACCTCGCTACGTGACTCTCCTCAATTCGCACACGTTATCCTCGTTAACTACAAAGAGGTATTTATTCACTACAACTTCCTTCTACCTCTACGATATGAGATAATGTGAAGGTATTAACTTGAAACATTAATATATTATATATTTTGTTTGCGCTTTTAATATTACTAAGTAGCATGTGGCTTACTGGTTATAACTTTCTTTCTGCATGCACGGGTTCTTTCTTTCTGCATGTGTAGGGCGTGGGTTCTATTCTCCTTTCTTTCTGCATGTGGAGGGCGTGGGTTCTATTCTTGCGGGTTCTTTCTTTCTGCATGTGGAGGGTGTGGGTTCTATTCTTGTGGGTTCTTTCTTTCTACGTGTGGAGGGTGTGGGTTCTATTCTTGCGGGTTCTTTCTTTCTACCTGTGGAAGGCGTGGGTTCTATTCTTGCGGGTTCTTTCTTTCTGGATGTGGAGGGTGCCTTGGGACGAAAGGGAGTTCTTTTATCAACTATTTTTCTTGTCAATTTTATTTTTTTGAGGTCAAAATTTTTTTATAAATATTTTTCTTGTCAATTTTATTTTTTTGAGGTCAAATTTTTTTCTTATAAATATTTTTCTTTTCAATTTTATTTTTTTGAGATCAAATTTTTTTCTTATAAAAAAAATGAAAGGTTTTTTTTATCAATTTCACTTTTTTTAAAAGAAAATTATTATAAAAAAAATGAAAGGTTTTTTTTATCAATTTCGCATTTTGTCAAATTTTTTTCTTATAAATAAAATAAAAATTTTCTTATAAAAAAAAAAAAGGTTCTTATCAATTATTTTCTTGTCAAATTTCTTTTTTTATTAAAAAAAAATTAATAATAAAAAGTTATTGTCAAAAAAAAATATTCTTATAAAAAAATTAATAATACAACAAGTACTTTTGTCATAATAAGCAAACATTTGGTAGAATTTTACTGCTTTTAATCATATTGTCAATAATCAAGATTTTATTCAACGCGGCCAACTAGATAAATACTTGCACTTTGCGAGATATAGGCCATTTCCAAACAACAACAATCCGAGGGTAAGACCATCTCTGCCAATCATGGAAAAGAAGGTTACAGCATGATTTAATGGTGAAGATTCCATCATTTTCAATTGTCCAAACATTTCATCTCTCGCATCTGATGCAATATAGGCTTTATCAAGTATTTCCATCAGCGCACACCACTGTGAAAATAAATTATTATTCAGCCTGGTATACCTTAAGGGGCCGTTCGGATACCTGGAAATATATTGTCTGTGAAGTATATTACTGGAGTAATACATTACCGTGTAATACATTACCTGTAAATGGATTGTTACTGTTTGGGTAGTATTTAGATGCAACCTAGGAAATACATAGTTATTGTTTGGCTATGTCCGGAAGATATATAGGAAATGCATTACCAATATTTTACCAGCACGTGTCTATAAACTATCATTTCTTTCCTTTTTGTCATAAAATTCCACTAAATGCAGAATTATCATTTCCTTCTTTTTTGTTACAAAATTCCACTAAAATATTCAATTAAAATCATCATCACACCATTCCAAAAACATTTCTAATAATAACATTATCCTCATTCTAAAAATATTTTCTAATAATAACTTGTCCCATTTTACAGTCATGACACTATTTCCTATTTATTTTAAGTGCCTTTGGCACTTAATATGCAATCATATGTTTTCTAACATGACATTGGTTTCAACATGATAAGTCATTGGAACAATATGATTGGAATAACATGATTTTATTATGATAAGCCTTATTTTTATTTATTTTTTATAGAAGTCTTTCAAATGTCTCTTTATATAATATCAAATAAACAATAAATTTATGATATTAAATTCAAAATTGGTAGGGTACGAGTTAAAAAATGGATAGAAGTTTGATTAGTAAACTAGAAGGTTTAGGAAAAGGGACTTGAGTGTATATTCACCCACCCACGTATGGTGCCAAAAAGAAACGATTATTCCTATTCCCAATCGACCATCTACGTAACTTGCAACTATGGGCCAAACATGCACAATATTTCTCCACATCTAACAAGTCTCTCTCCCAGTACCTTGACCAATCCAAATGGCCGATCTACCCACACCTTACTTAGCAAGGAGGACTTGATACCAAAGCTGATCTTTAAAGTGAAGGCTCATCCACCACCATTTACAAAACAAAGCTTGCTTTATCAATCTTATTTTTCTGATACCTAAACCACCTTCCTTCTTTGGGGTGCACACCCTATTCCCTCGCAGTAAATGAAATCTGCAACTATGACCTTCAGAGCCCTAAAAGAAATCTCTCATTATTTTCAATCTTTCTGGCAACCAATACTGGCATATTGATCAAAGACATCTGATAACCTCAAAAATAAAAAAAATATATACCAGTGACAAACTGAAAAGAATATACTAGTGACTAACCTCAAAAACAAAAAAGAATATCTAGTATCAAACTTTGTAATTTTTTTTAAAAAAAAACAATCATCTGAAAGTTCCTAGGTAAATCACCAAATTTTAGAATGGGAAATCCTTCTTTCACTTGAGAGAGTAATTATTATTATTATTATTATTAATAAGTATTCTAGAGGGAGTAAATATACAATATGCTCCCATACGAGCATATTGCACAAGCTCAAAAAGTTTTCGATGCACTTGTGCTCCTTTTGAAATTGACAAGAAGGATAAAAGATTTGGGGGCCCCGGGTCTTTCGGCAGGAACCAAATCAATGGTCGGAAACCCATGGGTTGGGCGGCGTGAGTTGCACCTTGGTTTGCTCTAGAACCACCCTTGCATTTTGACTCTTGTACTCCAGTCCACTAGATTTGAAGGAAACGTCTCTTTCTCCCATCTCTATCTTTCTATAGAGAGGGACGTTGCTGGTGTAATTCATATCCTCATTCAGATAGTATTTGAGGAATTTATATGTTTAATGAAGAATTGGGAAGGAATACGATTTTTATTTTTTTTGGTGGTTTTTTTTGTTGTGTCTGGGGAGGGGGAACCCAAAAGACGTGCAAATCCAAAAGAGATTGTGAGATGGGCAAACCCAAAAGAGAGACGGTGAGATGTGCAAACTTACCTTATAGGTATTAGTTAAGTATTATATCAAAACATAATCATTATTATCATCCAAGTCTTATTCCAATTATTTGGGGCTGGCTACTAAAAATGTCCTAACTAACCCTTATCCATTTCTCACTACACCTTGGTAAATTAGCAGGGGGAGTTCGTCTTATTATAGCACCAAAAGTGGGTTGGTGATAGACATGTTAAGATTCAATTCCTGGAGGTATTTCTAAAATCTCTACTCAAGTATGCTAAGGGGGCCGAAATGGTTAAAGGCCCATGGTATTCCACAATATGGTTCCAAGCTACTTCCCTATGTGGAGTGCTTTTCAATTATAGAATGAGATGCAAAGGAGCCAAGCTAGCTAAGTATGAAAGCTTTCTATTCCTTATAAAGTTCAATTTTTTGGTGGATTTTATGCTTAAATAAGCCGTTTGATATTAGAGGAAGAGAGGTAAAATTATCACAAAGATATTTCTACTGTGCAAACAAGGTGAAGAAAATGAAAATCATCTATTTATTCCCTATGAATTTACAAAAGAGTATTTGGGAGTGGGTATCGCAGTCTGTGGAACTACACTTAACCCTCCCTCACCACGTCTCATAAGCATTCAACTATCAGCTGCATTTGCTTCCAAGGACGAGTGAGCTGCTCTCGAAAATTATGAGATTGTATTCATTATGGGGGGCGTGCAAGGAGAGGCATGGAAATTATTTAAGGGTCGATGTTTATAGGTGGAAAGATTGAAGAACAAGATGAGTTGGTACCAAATTGAGCTTTTGTCACTAAAGAGTGTTGGGCTATCGCGGATCTATCATCATCAAAGCCTTAACCCAACTAATTAGAATCAGTTAAACGAATCTTGTTTCATCATTATACTCTACAAGGGCCATACACACCCTATCATGAGCAAATAACGTAGATTCAAAATTCATAATAAGATATGTCAAAATTTTACGTTGACTGCCTACCTAACGCAACCCATCTCCTGAGGACGAGTTGATCTATTATATAAATTAAATGAACTAGCCTAGATGAACATCGTGAGAGAATGTAGAGCTCAAGGTTGGCTACCACCACTACTTTGTACTTTCAAATTGATTTTGATGAAAATTCACCAAGGAATGTAGAAAGTGAAAGTAAAGCTAATGAAGCTAAAATAAGGGCTATTCTGCAAGGACTAAAAACTTCGGATATTAACCATCATGAAGTAAAAGTGGAACTCCCTAAATGCCAATGCATGAAACCATGCTTATAGAGATAAGAGGATCTGTATGATGGCCTTATATTTATAGAGAAACAAACTAAGAGGCAGGCATGCTTGGCTAAACAAGGTACTCCGAATTCTTCGTTACTTATAAATAGATTTTGGGTGGGTAGTTAACTGATCTTGCTTTGCCCCTGGGTAATCTGGTACAGTTCTTGACGATAAATGAATCGGATACACATTTACATTCAAAAAAAGGAGAGAGAGAGAGAGGTTATTGTGGCATATTGGCAACTATTATTAGTTACAACTTCAGCTTAAAAAAAAGGTAGTTACAACTTGCTCTCGATAAATCATAACAGTGGCAACATAATTAACAAAAATCATACCACAGGAAATGCATCATACAAACAGCTAATTACATTTATCTCAACTGCCATCACAGGTCGTTTGAGGATTGTTCATCACCACCGATCTTGTCCAAAACAGACATTTGAGGAAAACTGTTGTATATTGTTTGTGCATCACATGTACATGTAAGCGTGCTCTACAAACCCCATTTAATTGGAATTGACTGATAACTGATCAGTGCAAAATTGCGAAGTATTGAAGATCGTGTGAAGTGAAAAGCAACAAATGAAAACAGTTGAACGCATTGGAACTTCAAATAACAGCACAAATTTCATAAAGTTGACTGTACACTCTTCTGTTAGATAATTTACAGTGGAGAGAGAGAGAGAGAGAGAGGAGGAGAGAGAGAGAGAGAGACAGAGGGACCTCAAAGTTCTCAACTTTCAGCCTAGTTGAAGAGCACTACGAACATCATTGTTCAAAGGAGAAGTTATAAAACTCAGAAGTTTCTCACACAAACCTTGCAGTTCAGGTGAGGAGTCCATCAAAGAAACACTTGCTAAAACTGATCTTGCTTCCAGCAAACCTGCTGAGATGCTTTTGAGAATTGCATCATCGCTGGCCATTAGGGAGGCAATGAGCTTTGTTCCTGCAATTCTTTCCTGGTGCATATAATCTCTAGTGAGAGAAGCTTGAAGAGAAGACTACTATTAAAAACTTTTTTCTCGCTCTATTTAATTCTCTTAGCACTTAATAGAGTAAGATTACTAAGGGCTTCATCAGTCCTTTAGAATCTCACCTAGCCCTCTAAGAAATCCGGTGAGGAAGGTCAAGGATCAAAACCCTTGAAGTTTCTCACAGAACAAGAGCAATATTTTTACTAAAGAGCTTTCTTATCCACCCCGTTAATAAGAATAGTTCCTTCCCACCCACTAAAATGATACGAAAGAATGCACAGTAGAGAGAGAGAATGGTTAGGCCTTAGTGAAGGTTCCACCTAATTGACCATGGACCATCAAAAAGTTACAATAATTGCTATATTACCCATGACTTTGGTCAATGCAAAATAAACGAGATCCCATCACTTATATCATTTGAATACCTTTGTGGCTCCTTTAGTCTTTAAAGCTTTCATAGATAGGCTGAACAAGTCAGTCGCATAAGGAAGCACTGCAGATTTAAGATGGTAAACGGCCGTAAAGAGAACCTGCAAGCAGGCAGCTTTCATCTCCGGTTGTTCCATTACCTGCCAAGAGAACATTAAAGAGCCAAAAGGGTTTACGAAGCGCACCACACAGTTACTTGAATGTAGAATGGAATTCGATAGACAACATATGGCAATTATTCTTTGCACAGTCTTGTCTCTGGCATATGGCACAAAACTGGGTGAATGCCCATCGGTTAATCTCCAACATCTGTTGTTGGGTGCAGATGGTTGTTAACAAAACTATGTATCATATGATAGAGAGAAATTGTGAATGGTTTGTCCCACAAAACATATATTGCTCTGAATGGTGTTAGCTTGACACTACATTTCACTACCATGTTATTATCTGGTGCATATCTAGTGGTTTGAAGCATTCAACAATTCAAGTCACTTATTGTTGATTTTCTCTGTCATTTAGACATTGATCTTAAGATAAACTTTACAAATGCTGAAATTCCATTATATACCAGAATAAAAGTTTTGTATACATAAGTTCCCAAAAATTATATTTCTATGGGAAATACGTATACAATTGTATATATTGAAAATTTATAACATCTTATAAAAATTTCTATATAACATCATCTTATAAAGATTTCTGTATAACATCATCTTATAAACATTTCTATACAACATACTTTTTACAAAAACTTCTATTAAAAAAAAATATTGTACAATATATCAGTTATATATTTTGATTAACTTTGTTTACAAATTTCCCAGACATAAAATGAAAGAGGTATAAAGAATTTAAGGAAAAATTAGAAAAACACTCAATATCAACCACCTTGACAAAATGAATAAGAGGCGGAAGGGCCCTTTGAGCAAACAATGGCTTGGCTAAAGGTGGCATCTTCTGGCAGGCACTAATGAGAACATTTGCCATGCACAAGTGAAATGGAAGTGGAGCTGAACCCTTAAACAGAGAACCTCCTCTTTCTATAGGAGAGGAGTCTAAAGGCTCAATTTTAGCTTGAGTATCCTCCAAACTTGTGAATGATCTGACATTTTTGTGGCAAATCAAATTTTGAATAACATACGAGAGAACCAAACCATTCTCCAGTGTATCTCCTGCATTTTGGTTCATGAAGTCTTAGTGAAACAAACGAAAACAGAAACAAGGGTAAGTATCCTCTTTCCTTAAAGAGTCCAATGAAATATGGAAAACATAGTCCCTCATGTCCATACCATCTGATGAAATGATGGAGGGTGATGGGGAGAGAGAGACACAGTTGTGGTCATCTCCTGTTCTAATGCATCTTTGTATCTCTTCATCACAGTCCATTTCATCTGACGGATATGACCCCAATGGACTATGAGATATCATAGACCATTAGACTACAGTACAAGTTTCCTAAATGAAAAATCACTGAAATAATAAGAGTATGTTCTCAAGTTCTTCACAAACTTGCAGTAATAAGCCCTTACGCAGATGACTCTGGGATTCATTCAGAGGGTCTGTTTTGTTTAGAACATCACTGTTGGTTGGTGATACCAAAGCCTCTAGCTCAGCACATATCATAAAGGCTAGACAATCAATGCATCCATGTTGTGCTTTGGAAACTAAGGATGAGGAAACCCACTTCAGAGTTAGGTCCAAAGAAGCCTGACAAGCTCGCATAGATAAGCAAAAAAGAAAAAGGAAATTGTATGGTAGTGCACTGAATGTATGGTATGTAGTATGCCAAAGGAGGTAATGTCCACTAACCAATCATGACGATGAAAAATGGCTATGAATCATGTGATGGGGCCTACTAGGACATTCACCCAGGTACAGAATCTCCATTGTTCATCACTAGGAATGGAAGGTGGATTCTTCAAGGTAAAGTCCACCGACCAATCATGATGATGAAAAATGGATATGAATCATGTAATGGGGCCTACTAGGACATTTACACATGTACAGATAATCTACATTGTTCATCACTAGGAATGGATGGTGGATGGCCCTTTGGAGACCGACAACCATACTCCATCGTATCATGGTATATTTCCCTGACAAAGAAAAAGTGTAAATTATACTGCAATAATAGGTGCAAACCTTCATCAGAGTCCAAAGAAGGCCATTTTAGGGCCAACTCCATATATTTCCTTATCTGAACCATGACAGGGTGCACAACTGATTCTTTGCCCCAAACCTAAAGAATGAATAATTAAATGGATACTACAAACATCAAAAGAGAGAGAGAGTATGAACACCAGTGGGTAGAGGAGACGATGGACAAAATAGGTACCAGAAGCGGAATGCAAACTGTGAATAAGCCAAGAGAAGAGGGTGATAGTGGGTAAAATAGGTACCAGAAGAGAAGTACAGGTTGCAAATAAGCAAGCTCTCATTTTCAGCAAATCCCGAGATACTGTAGCATTCTCTAGAAGATCTCCTATGATAGGGAGGATGACCTGCCAATAGAAAATTGTTAGCATAAATCCCAACCCGGCAATATACTGAAATTAACGAAAAGATTGCTAGCAATCTAAAACTTAAAAGGTAATGAGGAGAAAAAGAGATACATTGGACTAATATAGACCTTAGATTATGAGAATTTCAAATTGCACCAAGAAAATGCACCAGGATGAACTTGGTGAAGGATAAAATGGTATGCTCATGAAGGTTATCCTTTGCATGAACACCTAAGAACTAGATGAAGTGATGCTCAATGGAATCAAGCAAGGAAGGATATGATGAAAGGCCTCCACTGACATATGTGATTAGATTTTACAGGTCTCATAGCAGGGAAAATATCACAAAGCCAGAAAGGCTACCAAATCCTCTGTATTAAATATACTGGACCTCACCATGCCAAGTATGTTCGCTGATTATTCTCTGCATACTTGAAGGCTCTTCATGGTGAGTTAAGGCAAGAAACATGTAATTAAACAAAATCAAACATGGATTTCACAAATTTGGTAAGTACAATGCACAGGCTTGGTGGCAGGCTTAAACCATGCTCTCTGATTGTTGAAAACAGGTAATACACAACTTTTCAAGGGCCAATTCATACATATTATCACCTCAAACTACTTTTAAGTGCCAAAGATCAACCATGAATATCTCTCTCCATATAAATCCTTGTCCTGAAATAGCGGTCTCATATTCTTGTTGGCAACGATGGGCAACCAGATAAATCCTATCTACAGTGATGGCAAAACATTTACTATGCAATGAATGAAGATATATCATGCATGCCTAAAAAAGAAAATCACTTATGAAATGGACCCAAAAGATAAATGGTCATGCTAGCACTATCACTAATTCTCATCGCAATTGACCAGTATATCATACTTGGGGATGAAGACGGCCAGAAACCTCTGCTGCAACTTTACGAACATCTTCAAATTCAAGCAAAAGGAATGCCCTAAGGATACCCAGAAAAGATGTCAAGACACAACAAGATTTGATTTCAGCCAACAAAAGGTCACACGCATTACATTTTTAATTTACCTGTGTATTAGGAAAGTAGTTATGCAACCAGTGCTGTCTGGATCAAAACTGCTGTGCCCTGACGAAATGTGAGACAATATGTAATCAATAAATCCCGCACAAACTATAGGAATGTAATGGATGTTAAGACCATCATTATTACAGCGCATCAATCCAAAAATAATCATTTATTTAAGCTGACACAGAGCATAAAAAACAAACTCAATGAGCTCTTACGATTCAAATTGCCTTGATGTATTGATGTACAAAGAAAATTAGTGGTTTAGGGCTTTTAAAGGCCTGGATATAAAATAATTAGGTTCATTTTTTTATTGAGTTCAGACAATGTATTAGGAGCTTTTATGTATAGGGAGTAAACAAAAAAATAGCCGAGAGCTGATTGCTAACCTATTCTTTACTATGCCATTTCTTCAATCAAAGAAAATAAGAACTCCAAACGAAGAGTCACATGAAAATTATGTTTTCATTTTTTTTTTTGAGAAAAGTCATGTGAAAATTATGTTTTTGACCCAGCATAAGAGAGAATTTCAATTTGTTAAAAATAAAATCATAAAGGATTTCAAGCTCAATAAAGTAGTAGGCCGCCTTTTCTTCTGATTCATTATGTGATAGGAATGCAGAAAATATTCCTGCTCAGAGATTTAAAATACATAAATTGTTAGCAAACTTGAAACAAAAATATAACTTACCATGTGAAAACTGCAGATGACCATACAATGTAGAGGAGCTTAGATCACTAAATACCCTCAATGGAAGCATCCTGAGAATCAGTAATGGACAAAGGCGATCAAATAATGACTCTTTCAATCCATTGGCGCTATGAGAGTCACCATCTGCCCACTTAGAGATCATGTCCTCATTTAACCTACAACAGAAAAGATTAAAGCTTCAGAACGCCACATAAATTTTTCACCAAAATCTTCATATTGTTTTGAACAAACACAAGAGAAAGATGGAGAAGAGAACGAGGATGGATATAGAAGAGAACATGAAGGACTTTCCCTAGTCACTTGTGTATCCTACAAAACACAAGATAGGGTTCTTGTAGAGTTGGCACACTGGTTTCCTTAGAGGAATTTAAATCAGGTTAGCTTCATAAATAAAGTTTTATAGTGTTCTTAAAAAAAAATGGGTAGGTCAGCTTGTTTACTCTTTTTGGGACAAACTTCAAGGGCTTGAACCCTTGACCTTCCTCACCCAAACTGATATGTCTACCACCCTGCCGAAGCTCAAGGGACATCTTATAGTGTTAATACTTGTAATCACTGTATGCACATGGACTAACGGCATAGTTTTGATCAAAGTACATTGACAAAGTTATATTTCAAATATGGACTTTCCATGCATTTGACTTCATGAGAGTAAGCTAAATGTTTCCAGAATCAATGACAGGTGCTACTTTCAGTATTTTAGTACATTTTACAATAGATAAAAGAGAAGGCACTGAAAAGACGGGATTGTCTACAAAGATACTATTTACCCTTTGTACAAGGAGGTCACAATCATTCTTGCCCCTTAGATTTAAAAAATGGGTGGTTGTAAGAGTGTCATTGATTAGAAACAAAGTTCGAAAAAATAAATTCTTGGACGTCATGACTCACCCTAAGCCATTCAATTTGACTTCTAATGATCGAGAATAATTGTGACCTCCTTGTACAAAAGGTAAATGGTATCTTTGTAGACAATCCCTGAAAAGAAATCTAACTACGGTCTAAGACTATGCGTAGATTAAATTTTACTTGCAAAAACTGTAGTGCAAAGGCATTAAATTTATTTGCAAAAAATCATCTACGAATTAATGCCATCAGGGAGCAGAGGTTCTATCACCATTAATAAAGTGATAAGTTAGAAGGTGCTTTTTCTGGTAGATATAAATGAGACTTATTGTTATGGGGGGGCATGAGTCATCATTATGTGCTACACTATGGGACTTTGATAAATAGGATCTGGTGTCAAAAATAACCTTACCAGTGTAGAATCTCAATATGCAACCTCAGAGACTGAAAATATACAACAACAATCTCATACAGCAACTTACAAAATACTTAGTAAAGAACTGTGCATCACAATATTAGAACTGTCACGAAAATAATCTTACAATATACTTACTCTTTCTGAGCTTGCATATGTAAGAGAACTCGATGGAGGAGTAGATCCCTAGCCTCTGCCAGTTGCTCGTTAATGTAACCCAAAAATCGAAGAAGAATTGCATTCGATGGGTCTGCCAGTATCTTTTCTAAAAGAACTTCAATTAAAGTGCGCCAGTCTTGAACCTAATAAAGTGTGGATGTGAAAATGAGGTCCAGAAAACAAATAGAAACACAAATATATCTAGAAAGAAAGATAACCTTCCCGAATCCAAGAATGTGCACCAATGTGTACATAAGTGCAACTAATATGAAGTTACTGAAAGAAATGGGAATGTAGAATTCCAAGCTAAGAATTCAACAGAAATAATTTCTTTTCTTATATTAATTCTCAGACTTGAAAGGGCCGGTCAGCTAATGACAAAAAGAATAGTTCTGAGGTTATGAAACAACATAAATAAGGCTCCTCGGTATATTTTCTATGTATGCATCCTTCAAAAATGACAGTTAAGGAATAACACATTCAAAACTTGAAGAGCAATTGGTAATACATGGTACATAGAATATGAGCCACATCAATAGAAAATGTTTGAATGGATCACAGGCTTATTTGAAGATGGAAATCACAAGTCCAATTAACTTTGATGATGAACAATACAAAGATGAAATGTCAAATAAACTATTTCTGTCTTACAGATTCTGACCACTTGGGTACCAACTGAAGTACTTGATCAATGTCCACTTTGGTCCCTGAGATAGGAATAACAGGTAAAGCAATAACAATGATCAACCAAAACATTATCCAGGAACAGTTTAATCAATCCTAGATAAAGAACACTACAAGATTTGTCAATTTTTGAAATGGTTAAACATATGGATTCCCAAAAGTGAATGTAGAACCGATCCATATTTACATTTGCGATTGCAAGTGTGAAGAAAAAGTATGGTATTTGAAACTTAATTACCAAAAGGAAAAAGCAAAGAATATGTTGAATCCAGATTGAGATGCTTCGTCATAAATCCAATAAAACATAAAAATAAAACTAAGAACACATTTAAAATTTCACTCACTTACCTGTGGTTCCATAACAGTTTCTATTTTTTTTTTCTGATAAGATTATTTTTGTTTTTTACTTGTTCTTGTTCTTCTTCATTCCTTCTGAAGCAAGGATAATATTGTAAAACTTTTAAAAAAATTAATTCCTAGTTTCGAAGCTTTTCCTCTCTTATTATCTTTTGTCTATTTTTTTTTACCTGTCTCAATTCATTTTCCTATATGGATCTAGCAAACCTAAAGGTTTATGCAGGGCTTGATGCAACACCCTGACATGCTACAAACACCCTTTTGAAACTGGAGCCACTTCTTTTATTGGTATCTATAACTCATATTTTAACCTTATACCACTAAAAAATGAACACAACAATGCTTGCTTCGTGTTGTAAGACTTCAGACACAAAGAACATGAAATTGGCATAACATGATGAACATGTACCTGATTGAGAAGTCTTTACCCTGGAAGGTATACATTCTCTTAACCCTCCTTGGCTTTCTGGAATAGCTGGGCTCTGACTAATATTTCTGTTCACACTACCAATGATTAGTGCCAGCCATAGCATATTATCATAGGTCAAACATAAAGATTTGATGTAGTCCCATCTATTGTCTATATAGGTCAGGTCCTCTTTAGCTTATAAAAATTCCATCAACTACAACCTGATGCTTGCAAAAGCGAAAATTACTGACCTGAGAGAGTCAAGAAGCGCAACCACCACATCACATGTCTGTTCATGTCCCTTGAGCACTGCAAGAATGGCCTCACTGGCAGCCGATTGCATTTTCTCATCCGAAGAATACACGCATAGTAGCAGAGGAGGAAAAACAAACTCAGGATCTAGATAAGACATGGTTTTTCAAAAATAAACACATTACAAGAGCAAAGAAACAAGAGAACTTCTATTTAGATGCCACAACTCTTTTCCAAGCAAATTTAAGTAACTATCAATTTTTCAACAATTATTAGAAATACGAAAATGACTACAGAAATATATTCAGCTTATATACTGCACAAGTGGAAGCAAGTGTTTTTAAAGTTGGGGAGAAAGGTAATCCAGCTGGACACAACAAAAAGAGAGAATCTACATACTGACCAAGCTGAGAGAGCAAACGAGAAACTTTATCGCGTATTATGAGCTCGTCATCTCCAAGGCATTCCAGCAGGTGCAATGCAATATTTTGTCTACATTATAATCATTACGATTGATCAAACATATAGGCACACGAAACATGCTGGGTAGATTTTTTTCATCAGAATGATGCTATATACCGCAATGAAGGGATCAACGCTTTTCTTGATACACAACATATAGACATAAACTCTGAGATGACATCAAGAGCATTGCTCCTTTGACTGTAATTTCCAGAATCAAGACGCTTAAAAATCTCTTGCAAACATTGACCATCTGGATTTCTGGAAAACAATCAATTAAGTCTGACATAATGGAATTGTAGATAGAGAAATACTGCAGTGAGTTTTCTTTTAATTGTATGAAATAGTGTAGTGATATACAACAGGCTCCAAGGAATCATGCAAAGGATACATAGAGCAGCATTCAGAAATAAGCAAGACAACAGCTCTTGCAACAGAATCCCTCTCATCAAGGAGGTTAAGCAGTAAGTCTACCACTACTTTGATTTGGCCAGAGTCAAATTCAGTATCAGCGGAGATGGAAAAGTTTGACTTAAAAATCATTTTCCTCAATATATCTACACCTCCTTCAACCAGAACATTATCCCTGCAACGAAGCTTAAAAAAAAAGAAAAAAAAAAAATCATTCATACTTTAAATAGCGAGTCTATTAATTCCAAAACTGAATTGCCATATCGAAAAATTACCAGCCATGCTAAGAATATCTAAAGTTTAGAGATGGCAATTACTTAAAACTGACATGTCAATTTCTATTGGAAAAAGTTTATATAAGGGTGAGGCTCTGAACAATTAAGTTAAGGCACACCTCAAAAAGTCACTCTAAAAGGTTGTTTCGATGCCCAAAAATCCTCAAATCGATCATCTCAACCTCAAAATGTATGAACGAGAGAATAAATAGATTTCAAGTATTGAAAATAGTGCATTATGCAGTGCATTTTCTGGACCGTCAATTTTCAAGATTTTCAATTGTTCATAGATCTGATGGATCTACACTATTTTTGAAGCTTTAAATTTTATTAGGTATGAAAATAAATTTTCAGGTCAACCCAAACTATTTGGAGGTGTGCCTTACTTTGATTGTTTAGGGCCCCAGCCTTATACAAAACACACCCAGTTTTATTCTGCCTCAAAATGCAGGAAAACATATTTTCTGATGACCAAACAAAGAACGGAGCAAGCAACGTTTTGACTCTAAAGCAATATGGTTACCCAATAAAAACTTTGAATAACCCCTCAGGAACACCTGCAATTCTTTAACAGATAGGCGATCAATATGGGTTTCCAAGCCATAGTAGATTAAAATATTCAGAACCCTCCCTTCCTATATAGTGACAATGTTGTTTAAACAAAAATTGGCACGCCAGTTTGAAGTAATTGCCATCTCTGGTACCAGACAAGTGCCTTTTACCTGCAAAGTGAGCAGATTGGTCTGCATGCATCTATGCATGAGAGGGGGTGATCGTCAAGAATTTTATGTTGAACTTAAAGAACATCCAGAGGATGAAAATAAAGAACATACAGAGGAATGAGCAAGCAGCTGAGAAAAAGGATGATGGAAAAGAGGAAGAGGGAAGACAGGCAATGAAAGAAGCCAAGGATCTCTGCAAAAATGGTGGAGAATCAGAGATGCTGGATGTATAGGAAGTACAAAACTACCCCTCTACTAATAGGGAGACCCTCACAAGCAAGAGCGCTTAATTATCTTGTTCGTCCAGGAAGCCATTCCATGATGGAGAAGATCAGATAACCTATGTAATTCAGTCATTCAGCAGGATGAGCCACAGAAGGTGGAACAAGCCTAAAGGAGAGGGCTAAAATGATTCTCAACCTACTGAAAAAAAGTAATCTGAAATATTTTTTCTTTCGATCAAATGACGAATTACCAGAAGCAAACAAGAAGAAAGGCAACAGGATGCTACTGACAGTAGAAATAGGAAAAATGGAAAAAGGAAAAAGATAAAAGAAACAAACCTGTGCAAGCAATATGCTTAAAAACTCTGGCCCAGTTTTGGACATTGCAAGTTCAAGGCGTTCATTATTAAGGCGTCCCCACAGAAGAGCTATGCAGCATAGGAAAAACTTTCTTGTTTCAACTGGACTGTCCTTTCCACCAGGATAATCTTCAGCTTCATCCTGTTGTGTATACAGCTGCAGATATAGGATGAAAGCTCTTTATAACTAAATAATTCTACCAGCAAGTTCAAAGAATAGCACGACATTATTAGCGACAGTTAGTATTCTTTAATCACTTCAAACAAATACGGCTAAAGATAGGGAACACTAAGAAACAAAATTTTTCTTCCCCATTTTCTTTCACTATCACCATCCCTACAATCCAGTAACCCTTCTTTGTGGCTAGATTATAACCTAAAACCTAGAAAAGTAAAAAACTAAGTGTTGCTAATCTAGTGACAAGTGGCAGAATAAGGAATGGTGACATCTTTTTTGTCTGAGTTGGTAAGGCAACTTGAAAGAGAGTGCTATTATAGTAGACTACTCAATTAATATGCAGTGCCATAACAAGGAAGCCATAAAAATAGTGTTTGTCTCATCTTTCATGAGCAGACCAAGCATATAGTAAGCGTATTGCGACTTTGTTAGACAGAAAGTGGTTTCCAAGAGTGCTTGTATCCCTCACTCAAAGGATCAAGTAGTATATAA